GAAGAGGCAGTGTCTGCAGACTCCCGGGATGGAGTCCCTCACCGCGACCTCAGGACATGGCCTCTGTGAGGCCCCTCGGCCTCCTACCTTATTTCCTGCCACGTCCATGACGTGTGCAGCTTTCAGCACCAGCAGCCGGGCCTGCTCGATCTCCACACGCGACTGGGCGATGTCTGCCCGGAGCGTGCCCTGCTCTACCAGGGGTTTCCCGAAGGCCACACGGGACTGCACCTGTGGACACAGGAGACACGGCAAGCGGCATGGGGCTGGCGCCCTGCAGGGGAGGTGGGTGGACGCACGCGGAGAGGGCAGGAGAGGAAAGGGAGCAGAAGCAGGACTGTGCAGCTCATCTGCCGTGTGCCAGCTTTCTGGCTGCTGGCGATTTCCAGGGAGCGGATCCAGACACAGGCAACACTCCCGTGCCCTGCAGAGCTGCTCACCGTGGCGGCTGCACAGATTACTTCCAGGAACCCCTTTACTCCAGTGATTGAGCCCCCTGTGGGCAGGCCCTGCCGGCAGGCAGAATAGTTGTTCTAGATCTAGCCAGCATCCGGCCAGGAATACTCGGGGAATTAGGGCGACTGTGGGTGCCTCACAGGCGGGGGAGGGCGCCCTCTGCTGACTGTGGCCGGGCTCTATGCCCCAGGGTGCCCTCGGGAGCAAAGTCCAGGTGCCAGAGCCCCCTTGTGGACAACTGTTACTCCAATGGGCACTCTAGAGTGAAAGTCACAAGCAATCAGAAAAGGTTATAAGGGATTCTTTTTTTTTTCCCTTGGTTTTTTTTTTTAACTAAAAACAATTATTATACAAATAATATATCTCATGGCAGAAAAAGTATAAATTTTCACACAAAAGAAGAAAAAAATACCAACACCTGGTATCCCATCATCTAGTCACTTACAGCTAATATTTGGGGGGTATCTTTCTAGACTTTCTGTATGCCTATACATACATATGCAGTTTTTAAAAAAATGGAGTCATACTCTATATATTGCTTCGTAGCCTTTTTTTCATTTAAGAGTATACAGTGAACATCTCTCTATGTTAAGAAACAGATTTCTATAGCATCATTTTAGAATTTCACTACACGCCCGTACCAGGGTTTATCTGACCAGGCTTCAGCTGTTAGCCTTATAGGTTGGTCCCAACATTTTGCTGTCACAATCAATCTGGGGTGACCTTCCTAGTTTCAGATCTTTTGTAGATTCCTAATTAAGCCCTTATGACCAAGCCCTATGAGTGGAACTGCCGTGTCAGTGCTGTGCACCTTCTGAAGACTTCTGACATGTACGGTCAAACTGCTCTGCAGGAAGGCTGGTCTGAGTTTCAGTGCAGGATGGGGCTGAAGTACCACACCTGAGCCCATAGGGAGGAGCGTTTTACTTTCAAAAAAAAGAACTGGTCAGTCCCAACTTAAAAGGTTGTAAATCACAGAAGGTTTGCTCAGGAATCCAAACGCATTGGCCCGCCTCTGTTCCTTTTATAGTTTCTTGTGAGACATTTATTTGGTCTCAAGGGTTTGCTTCATCTTTATGAAACTGATGCCACTGATTTGAATTACCGTTCCCAGCAATAGCTCTCTTTCGCATGGGCTGCCAATCACTGAGGGGGTCACAGCAGAATAAAGTTTTCTGGACATGCTGGGGGAGGAGTGTGGTAGAGGGTTAGATGCTGGCACCCCAGGGCTCCCTGGTATCTGATTTTTAAAGATGAGTTAGTAGCAGGAATGGCCCTCAGCAGCCCAGGACCCTTTGGACCTTGGAACCTTGCCCTCCGCTGCCACAGAGCCCGGCCTTTTCCTTCTGGTTACCTCAACAGAGTGAGGCCTAGTCTCCTGTGAATTTCAAACTTCAGCAAAGTAGCAGATGCAAAGCAAAGAGAAGGATACGGCTTCTTGGTAAGAACATCACCTTGCTTCACCTAAGTTGGCTCTCAGAAAACAGTTAGGATTTGAGGTCCAATAGCAAAACAGACAGGTGGTTCTGGGTCAGATCCGGGCACAAGGGGAAGCACTCACGCGGGCCTTCATGAGCGCCAGGGCCCTCTCCGAGTACCCAATCAGCCGCATGCAGTGATGGATCCTGCCGGGACCCAGTCTGCCCTGGGCAATCTCAAAGCCTCGGCCGGGGCCCAGGACCACGTTCTCCTTGGGCACGCGCACCTGCTCAAACAGGACTTCGCCATGGCCACCTGAAAGACCCAAACGGTTCCCCCTGAGTGATCCGCCTACCCGTTTTCCTTGGATGTGTGTATCCCCTGCCTCAGTTCAGGTCATCTGCGGGCAGTAGGGGGCAGGGGCAGGAAGAGCCTATTAAAGATGGAAAATAAGACACAGCTTTACGATGTCACAAAAATAGTTTGCATTCCTTTTATAAAACACAATGACTCTACCTTAAGCTGAAACTCCCTAGTAGTATGTGACTCTGACAAGGTAGTGATCCCATGGAATCACTAAGAGAAAAACTGAACGTCGTTAGCAGAGCGGGAGCCCTTGTGAGAGGTCCTCGGGCCTGGAGGCCAGCTGTCCACTGGCATCTAGAAGAGCTCCGCAGCGCACGTCCCACCTGTCCTGTGTGGCCTCCTAATCTCATGGATTCCTGCTTATCTTCTAAGTGTAGAGCAGGAAAACAAAGTATAAATGCCTGTCTGAAATTTGCCTACGTGGTTGATATTCACATATGGAAATCAAATGCAGCAGCATGTGGCCCTCCAAGTGTCACGTACCCTGAGAGGTACTATGTCCTGACCTACAGCAAGGGCTGCCCAAAGCCGCGTCCCCAGGCCCATCCCCACACACAGAGGTGAGCTGCTCCCAGGGGCTAACCTGGCGCGTCGTCCAGCCCATACACCGTCAGAGGCCGGATGACTTTTATCCCCGGGGTGTCCATGGGAACCAAGAGCACCGACTGCTGCCGGTGGCGTGGGGCATGCGCGTCTGTTTTTCCCATAAACACACAGAGTTGGCAGCGAGGATCCAGGACACCTGCCAGGAAAGGAGAGAGACAGACAGACCCCCATCATCGGACGCCAGGGCCATCAGATCTCTTTACAGACGCAGTCCTGGCCCGGGAAAGCTGAAGCCAGCAAGCACACAGAGCTCTTTCAGATAATCTTCCCATAATCAGATGAGTACGTGCAGGCTCTTGACCAGAAATAAGAGCCATTGGTTTTCAGCCCAGTGAGGAATGAATCCAACATCAGAAGAGCAATTTTTTTAAAAAGCACCAGGTAGAGTTGAAAATATAATTTAAAGACAAGACGCTGAAAACTGCTACTTTATCACGGCAGCCAGTTCTGCTCTGTCCCCACGGGCAGTGTAAACGTAACAGCCTTGGGCATGGGCTTCAGAATCAGCAAATCCTGAACTCTGGATTCCCTTGCTAGCAGGGGCCTAGGACCTTCAGCAAGTGACTCAAGTCACTTCTCTGTCTTGGTTTCTGCTTCTGTGAAATGAGGATAGTAAGACGCACCTCCTGGGGAGGTGTGGGGACTCGGGGAGGCGAGGTCCACACAGCAGTTATGGAGGACCCTGTGGCGTTAACGTGGGAGGAAGGGCGGGATTATCACTAGCTCTTCTGATGTGGCACACCCGATCTACCACTGAGGAAGCGACCTTCTGCCTTTCCAAAGGGAGATACCCAAGGCAGAACAAAGTAGGGGGGGACTGAATGAGATTCCTAGAGTCTGTCCCATGTGCGGTCATCTGGTGACCCACACAGAACCTCTGTTCTCCTAGGGTTTGCTGCCTCTGCTTGGACCATGGAGACATAATCTCCTTTGCATCAGCTGGAGACACTGGCCCTGACCATTCTGTCCCAGACAACAGAAGGGCAGAAAGACATGCTTATCAAAACAGACCCACTGAAGTGGAAATGAAAAATGAGTTTCAGGCCAAATACCTGAGATCCACCACTTGTGACCATTTATGACGTAGAAGCCATCCTCCTCTCTGATGGAAGACTCAATGTTGGTGGCATCTGATGAGGCAACCTGAGTGAGAGAACATTCTGCTTAGAGCTGGCAAGGGTCCCGCGTTCCCTGTGTGGCAGAGCCCAGATGGGACCCGGTGAGGGTTTGGCCTGATAAAAAAGAGCCCCTGTGGGTGGTGCCCCAAGCGAGGTACCTGGGGCTCAGTCATAGCAAAACAGGAGCGGGCCTTTCCCTCCAGCAACGGAATCAGCCAGCGGGCCTTCTGCTCCTCGGTGCCATAGCGCACCAGAAGCTCCATGTTCCCCGTGTCTGGAGCAGAACAGTTAAACATCTGAAAAGGAGAAAAAGCATAACCATGAGTTCCATGTCCACTTTAAAACTTCAAATACCTTGGAAGTGGTGGACCGGGATTCCTTCCAAGCCACAGACCCTTTGACACCCTCATGAAAGTTCTTCCTCTCCCCAGAGAAATGCAAAGACCCACAACATTTTGGATATAGTAGCTCAGAGCCCCTGAAGCCCAGCCATAGACCCCCATTGCTGAGAGAAAGGAGACTGGATCTGGTGGGCTGGAGACTCAGGGAAGCCAGCCAGGCTCACGCCTCACACAGCTCCCATCTTCCCTGAAGACTCGCATCCTGAGCTGCTTTCTTGCTCTGCCTCCAGCCTCATGCCCGTAACTGTCCTCTCTCATTAGAAGTTTAGGTTTGTCTCAGTGCTCCTGAATCCAGCGCAAGCCAGAGGGAACCCTATCAGTGTAGGAGGGCGACTGACGTTCTCAGGGAAGACTGGGATATTGTTGCATGCCCAGGAAGACTCTAAAGAAGGTACCTCGGGGGCATACAGAGACATGCCCATGAGTTCACACAAATGTGCATACTCGACGTTGGTCAGTCCTGCTCCGTATTTTTTCTCTGGATCAGTCTCCAAGGGTAGGAAAAGGTTCCAAAGTCCTTCAGCCTTGGCTTTCTCCTATCACGGGAAAACAGGTTAGGGAAGCACAGTGGATGATTTAATTTTATTTTCGTCTGTGGAAAATAATGAAAGGGACTGGAGGGAAGACGGTAGACAGCCAAAGATGAAGCACATGTCAAAAATAATGACTGAGTCTGCAGCATCGGGCCTGCTATAAAACCTGCAGATCTGTGTGTGGGACAACCACGAGGAGGCCAAGTCCTAGCAGGGATGCCAGCCATCAGTTCACCCCCCGGTCTGCACGTCCCAGACACCCCCACGTACCCCATACTCCATCACCATTAGCATTACTATTGTTATAATGACGAATCTTCCAAGAACACGCTCCGTGAACACAGGAGACGGAAGGATCCTTTAGCATGCCTGATAGGCACGAGGCCCGTACATCCACTGCAGCCTCCACTGCTTTGATACAGTGCATAGGGAGATCCCCTGAACCAGCTTCCTTTATGAGGCACAACTTTGTTCCTGGGACAAGTAATCCCGGATTTCTGAACGTAGCTCCTGGCTGGGCAACTGGGAACTCCAGCCTGGGGGTCAGGAGCTCAGGTCTTCGGTCAGACTGCCTGGTTCAACCCAGCCCTGCCACACCTGGCTGGGAGACCTTGGTCAAGTCCTTTGTTTTTCTTTGTGAGGAAGATCAGCCCTGAGCTAACATCCGATGTCAATCCTCCTCTTTTTGCTGAGGAAGATTGGCCCTGGGCTAACATCCATGCCCATCTTCCTCTACTTTATATGGG